CCATTGCCATCAGCGGTCTATTCTAGATGTCGATGGTGCTTATTTTTTACGCTCCGCCATTTTCCTCACCCGTGAAGTTTCTGAACGCAGCCAAAGATTAAATATTGAAATTTCATCAATGAGGACAAGGAAATTTTGGTTTCTTTTGTTCTAATTAGCCAAACTTCAATCTTTCAGTCTTCAATCTCATTCTTCAATTCTTCTTCTTCTTGAGTTATTGGCCAGGCAACCCAAGGGTTGGTACTAGGCCATTGATGTCTGCGTTGCTAGTAATTTTTGGCAAGTGGGTTTGTAAGCCATGATGGTTATAAAAGTATAGTGGCCTCCCCCCCAATCCAGACGCCTGCTGCCCCCCAGCGGTGAACTGCGCGCCAAAGGAGAAGGGGGAGTGGAGCAAAAGAAAAGTCAGAAAAAGAGGTCATTGGCCTTCATGTAGGCCAGAAGGAGACGGGAGAATGTGGGACTAGGAGAGCGCAGGGCGGGGACGAGGTCCTGAGGAGAATTTGGGAATTTCTTTGATATATACGCTTGGATAGGGGTAGATTTTTCAGAGAATTCATTGCAATGGAAAATTAAATGATTTATTGTCTGACGGGGGTCGCCACATGGGCAGCTCGGTGATGGTATCATATTGACCCTGTGTAGGCTCTCGTTAACATTAATGTGGTTGGATCTTAGACGATTGATGAGAACGATTTCTTCTCTTGAGAGCGAAGATTCATGAAACCATGTTTTCTTGGATATTGTGTGAAATTGTTCGAAGTATCGAGTGCCTTTAGTTCTGGAAACCTCTTCCATATATTCTTGAAACTGTTTGTCCGCTCGGGCACGTGATTCCACCAGTAGGTCCTCGTAAGGGACTCTAAAGTCAGGTTTGTAACCCTCGATTGCCGCCAGCTTAGCATCTTGATCTGCTGATTCATTGCCGGGAATGCCCGAATGTGCAGGGACCCAAAAGAGGGTGACCTCGTTGCCTTTATCTACAATGTCTAGGTAGGCTTTTCTAATCTGATACACTATATAATTGCGCTGCACCTTGGAGGAATTTTGAAGAGCATCCAACGCGCTCCTTGAATCAGAAAAGATAACGCTTTTAGGGAAGTTAAGATCAAAAATAGCAAGAATAGCCTGGTAGATGGCCCAGAGCTCAGCGGAGAAAATGGAGGTTTCGGGGGGAAGCTTGTGTTTGATACTACCTTCCAGCTCCGGCGAGTATACCGCAGCACCAACTGCGCCTTCCGGACTCTTCGATCCGTCCGTGTAGAAGGCCTTGGCGTTCTGTCTGAACTCAAAAGACTTGTGATAAAATTCTGCAACAGTCAATATAGGATTTTCGCACTTGTCCCTACTCTGCATAGTATCCACATACTTGACTGTGGTAGAGAAGACTTTATATGAGAGCCAATATGCCGGCGGGTACGTAGATCTGAAGACGGTGGATTTTTCATGACGACTAGTAACATAAGATTTAAAGAGTCTTGATTCCTTTACCCCGGATCTACAATAGGTGTTTTAAGCCTTTAGCCTTCTGCTCTAAGCCCTAAGTGTGACGTAGTTTCCGGCCTGAAATGTTTCCCGCGCTGTCTTAAGTTGTAATCTCTTAGCTCTAAGCGAACTGGCCAGATCCCAGCTCTTAAAACTTAATACTTAAAACTTTCGAACAATATAACCTTAATTTTCAGTCAATGATAGAAAAGTGTAACGGAAAACCAAGTATACTTCTCATTTTTTATACTTTGTCACAATGTCGGATATTGACGACAATGATAATATTGATATTGATGATGAGGTTTTAATTGCAATTGTGCAACAAAATCCTTGTTTGTATGCAAAAAGTGACGCAAATTATAAAGATCACAAAGTGAAAGAAATGAAGTGGAAAACGATTTCTGAGTCTCTGAATTGCACAGGTATAAGTTAAAATATTTTATTTCTGTTAAAAATACGAAACTATCAAATATATTATATATTTATAATATGTATAAATTTGTAGCCGATGAAGCTAAAAAGTTGGGATTCCTTGTGGAGTCAATTTAGCAGGAAGTTGCGACAGCAGAAAATGCAGCCATCAGGTTCTGGTGTGATACCAGAATGGCCCCTTATGTCATGCATGTCATTTCTAAAATCTCATATTCAAAACAGAAAGTATGTATATATTTAGGTAATTATTTTCCTTATATATATATGTATACATATATGTGTATATATATATATATCAGGGAATGGAAAGTTACTTTTTAAAAGTAACAAGTTACAGTTACTCGTTACCGAGTAGGAAAAGTAACAAGTTACCGTTACAAGTTACCGATTTTTAAAAGTAACTCGTTACAGTTACCGTTACTTGAGAAAGTAACTTTTCGTTACTTTTCCGTTACTTTTTTTTAAATCGACGACCAACAATCATAGCGGACGAGCTTAGAGGCTTCTCTAATCTCAA